AGCATTTAGGCACAGGAATAGTCTATTAGGCATGCAGGTAGCCCTATGGAAAGCAAAACGTTTGCATAGATGGAAATGATTTGCCAAACTGGAGCTTGAAGTGTATATTCTTTATACTAGGCATTGTGTCCAGTAGCAGAATATTTTGGTGAAGTTTACTTGACTCTTAAGGAGCTGTGTTTTTTTTTCTCAGACTTTCTTCAAGAAAAAAACATGAGACACTTCCGTAGAAGAGAAAAAAATGCATCAATTAAAGGCTAGTTTCTCTACAGCAATACTAAATTTGGTCAAACTGCATGACTCATCTTTCCTAGAAATACTACAATGAGATCACATAATGTTTCCTTCCTACTCCAAATAGGTTTAGCCTCTTAAGTGTCCAGGGAATTCAGTCTTCTGCTTGCTGTCTTGCTTGATTACTGATGGAACAGAGTTCAATTGTTGCCTGGGCATGCAGCAAAATGGGTGCTAAGTAGTTCCTCTCCAGTGTGATATTTCTATGACAATAAAGTGGCTTTTATTATGCCCATTAAAGTTGAACTGAGGCTGATGTCTCTGTTTCTTTCAGCTCCAGAAATGTCTTATAATCCATGTACAAAAGCTTTAAGTGAAGTTATATGAACACTTCATAAAGTGTTTTTAAAATTTGTTTATGTTCTGTTTTGTGCTGATGTGCTCAAGTTTTACTAGATGGCCAAATGAACTGTTAACTGAAAAATTCATGTTCCATGGTTATTCGAGCTTTTGTTTCACCAACACTCACAGAAGAAACTCAGTTAGTGTAAGCTGTTTGGGGCAGCTTACTTGGATTGGCACAGCACTTGGTCCATATGGCTGCTACAAGCAATGCTACAATCATACAGATGTTAAAATCCAGCAATCAGGAAACAGAGATTGTAATGTCTTAGAAATTAGGTAATATTTATTCAAATAGTATTTGAATGATGCCCACTGCTGGGCCTCTTTGTTTGAAGAAGATACGTGGATCATGCCAGAGTAGAAGGGGGAAGGCCTCATGTAATTAAGCAGCACCGTTATTTGGAATGCAGTTTTGTTTCCCCCTCCCCACCCCTGCCATGTAGCATCTTTACTTTCCATGCAACAAGTTATTAAAGTGGGTGTAATGAGTGATTGAAATGATATGCAGCAGCTGTTGATACCAGTAATGAGAAAAAAGATGGCAGTAAGAGAGATGCAGATTTACACATTGCTGCACAGTTTAATTACTTTTGTTTAAATCAGCAGTCAGACAAAGACTGTGGAGATTGCACAGAGTGTGGAAAAATTGCAGAATCATGCATCCCCAAAATCATTTGTAACTGAAGAATGTTTCCATTCTTAAATGATGTAGTCAAGAAAATTAAACAATTTACTGCCCTTTCAGGAGAGACAGATACTGAGCATGCTAGAGCTATAGCAGCATAAAGTAGCCTGTGCAGCCAACAAACCATGTATTACAGGCATGTTATTATCAACAGATCTAACTGAAAACTCAGTTGGTATCCTCCAGGATATACTCAGTCCTCATTGGCAATCCCTTGATTTAAGGATGATTTCTACCACAGCTCATTGATGGGTTTTGATATGAATTACAAGTCCGATCCTTGGGCCACAGATCCATCTGCAGAAGTTACAGGTCTTTCTACAGGACAGAGTCAGCTGCAGGCTGGGATTCGTTTCCTTTTCCTTTCTCTACTCTCTATTCTCTGCTTTGAGGGCAAGATGCTTTACCTCAGGCTACTGCTTGGTTGAGATTATGGTGCCATTGCAGTTGGCTGGCAGCTAGCTCCTCCCAGCTCTTTATATTGGCATCTATTTTCTTAAGGAATTTGTGTCCTTGTGTCCTCTGGCCACCATGAGATCTCAGGCCTTTTCTAAATTGGGAATAGAGCCCTTGTTTTGGAAGTTGAGAGTTGGGTATCCACACACAATGTCTGGTCCAATGATGTTGGTGCTTGGGGATCACTGACTCAATGCTGACAACAGTGGCTTTAGCAAGGATTCTGAAGGTTTGGCCACAAAACACAGCACTAAGTATAATCAAAATCTGAGTTATTTTGTTGTAGGGAAACCAGCAACCAGGGGCAGCAAACAAGGGAAACATAACTGGAGCACTGTCATGGATGACTATAAACTGTTCAGGAAGGACAGGCAGGCAAGAAGAAAGGAGGAGTTGCACTTTATTGAAAAGAGCCACAGGATTGCTTAGAGCTCCAGTATGAAACTGGAGATAGACCTGTCAAATGTCTCTGGGTTACGGTCAGACAAGAGAGCAACAAGGGTGATGTTGTGGTGGGGGCCTGCTATAGACCATGAGACTGGGAGGAAGTGGTTGATGAGGCTTTCTTCAAACAGCTAGCAGAAGTTTCCTGATCACAGGCCCTGGTTCTCATGGAGGAAGTCACAATTCAAGAACTTTTTGGAGAGTGTTAGGGACAACTTCCTGGTACAAGTGCTGGAGTGGCCAACTAGAAGTTGTGTTCTTCTTGACCTGCTGCTCATAAACAGGGCAGAATTTGGTGGGGAATGTATTTGTAGATGGCAACTTGGGCATCCAACTTGGGCAGTGACTGATTGTGGTCCATGGGCCAGGTGCCCAGAGATTGGAAACTAGCTAATGTGGTCCCCATTTATAAGAAAGGGAGAAAGGAGGACCCAGGAAACTATAGGCCCATAAACCTCACATTGGTCTTGGGGAAAATCCTTGAAAAAATTATCAAGGAGCACATCTGTGAGGGGCCAGCAGGGGAGTTCATGCCCAGGTGAAATCAACATGGGTTCATCAAAGGCAAGTCCTGCCAGACTATCCTGATGGCCTTTTATGACCAGGTAACTAAATCCCTGGATGATGGTGTCTCCATGGATGTAGTCTTTCTGGACTTTAAGAAGGCCTTTGACACTGTCTCTCACTCCATTCTCATTAATAAATCGAGCGACTGTGGCATTTCTGCCTACACAGTTGGATGGGTCAAAAATTGGCTGATGGGGTGCACCCAGGGAGTGGTGGTGGACGGGTCGTACTCAGCCTGGTGGGATGTGAATAGTGGGGTCCCCCAGGGCTTGGTCCTGGGGCCTACACTGTTCAACATCTTCATCAGCAACTTGGACGAGGGGGTGGAAAACACATTGTCCAAGTTTGCCAATGAAACCAAAATGTGGGGAGAGGTAGGCACGCTCGAAGGGAGAAAGAGGCTGTAATTAGATTTAGGAAGATTACAGAAGTGGGTGGATGGTAATAGGATGGACTTCATTGTAGATAAATGCAGGGTGCTGCACCTGGGGAGAAGGAATCCACAGCACACATACAAGCTGGGGAGCTTCCCGCTTGAGGGCACAGAGGCGGAAAGGGATCTTGGAGTCATTATTGACTCAAAGATGAACATGAACCTCCAATGCCAGACTGCAGCTAGCAAAGCCACCTGCACCTTGTCATGCATCCAAAGATGCATCTCAAGCCGGTCCAGAGAGGTGATACTCCCCCTCTATGCAACATTGGTCTGACCTCAATTGGAGTACTGTGTTCAGTTCTGGGCACCGCACTTTAAGAAGGATGTGGCCTGCCTTGATAGGGTTCAGAGGAGGGCCACCCACTTGGTTGGAGGGCAACAGGGCAGGTCCTATGAGGAGAGGCTGAAGGACCTGAACCTGTTCAGCCTCAGCAAGCAGAGGCTGAAGGGAGATTTGGTGGCTGCCTACAAACTTGTTAGGGGAGATCAGCAGCAAATAGGAAGGGTCCTATTCTCCCCAGCACCACCTGGGGTGACGAGAAACAATGGCCAGAAGCTGCTGGAGGTTCAGGTTAGAGATTAGGAGGCACTATTTTACTGTTAGGGTGGCTAGGATCTGGAACCAACTTCCTAGGGAAGTGGTCCTCGCTCCTACCTTGGGTAAATTCAGAAAGAGGTTGGATGAACACCTGCCTGGGGTCATGTGATCCCAGCGTGTCCTCCATCAAGTAGTGGGGGGTTAGACTAGATGATCTATTTAGGTCCCTTCTAACCCCTAACTACTATGAAACTATGAAACCATGAGATGATAGATTTCAGGATTCTGCGGAAAGGAAGGATGGAGAGCAGCAGAGCAAGGACCCTGGACTTTAGAAAAGCAGACTTAGACTTGTTCAGGGAACTCATGGGCAGGATCCACTGGGAAGCCAGTCTGAGGGCGAGAGGAGTCCAGGGAGCTGGCTGTACTTTAAAGAAGCCTTACTGAGAGTGTAGTAACAAACCAACCCAATGGGCGGGAAGACTAACAAGTATGACAGAAGCCCAGATGGGCTTAGTAGGGAATTCTTCAGTAAACTAAAGCACAAAGAGGAACCTTATAAGAATTGGAAATTTGCACAAACAACTAGGGAGGAGTATGCTTGCCTATGCAGAAATGAAATCAGGAAGGTCAAAGTGCAACTGAAATTGCAGCTAGCAAGGGATGTGAAGGGTAACAAGAAGGGTTCCTACAAGTATGTCAACAATAGAAGGAGGATCAGGGAAAGTTTCGGTCCTTTACTAAATGGGGGAGGCAACCTTGTGACAGAGGATGCAGAAAAGGCTGAAGTATTCACAGACTTTTCCACCTCAGTCTTCACAGCAAGGGTGTGTCATTGCCTCAACTTTGTACTCTCTTTTTTTTTTTACAGTCATCCTGGTTCTCATTAAGGATCACCTTCCTTCCAGAATTGATATCAAATACCAAACAGATAGAGGGCTCTTCGATCTCAGATGTTTTTGCTTGAAGATCAAAGTACTAAATCAACCATGCTTGGTCTACAATATGGCCTGTGCCATCCTTGTGCAGAATTAGGAAATTTCCAGACCATATTGGATATTTTTGGAGAAACCTATTGAACTTTGGACCTCTCTCTCAACATTTAGAAGACTAAAGTGCTCTATCAGCCTGCCCTTGGCCATGAATATGACTCCCTCTCCTGCCCCAAAATTACCATCAAGGGAAGGACCCAGGAGGTAGTCAAGCATCTCTAGAAACACTCCAAATATCAGGTCTACAATGCAGTTAATCATCCCCACTTTCCTCTATGGATATGAAATGTGGGTGACCTACTGTCATCATCTCAAGAGACTGGAGAGTTAAGACTAGTGATGCCTTCAGAAAATCACCTACATCAAATGGAAAGATTGCTGCACAAACACCAGCATCCTTGCGGAAGTCAGTGATCCCCAAGCACCAGCTTCTTTGGATGGGACATTGTGTGTGGATGCCTAACTCTCAACTCCCAAAACAAGTGCTCTATTCCCAGTTTAGAAAAGGCCTGACATCTCATGGTGGCCAGAGAACACAAGGACACATTGAAGGCATACCTCAATAAAATAGATGCCAGTATAAAGAGCTGGGAGGAGCTAGCTGCCAGCCAACTGCAATGGCACCATAATCTCAACCAAGCAGTAGCCTGAGGTAAAGCATCTTGCCCTCGAAGCAGAGAAGAGAGAGTAGAGAAAGGAAATGAATCCTGGCCTGCAGCTCACTCTCCCCTGCAGAAAGACCTGTAACTTCTACAGATGGATCTGTGGCCCAAGGATCGGACTTGTAATTCATATCAAGACCCATCAAATCAAGGGATTGCCAATGAGGACTGAATATGTCCTGGAGGATACCAGCTGAATTTTCCGTTTGGGCTGTGATAATAAGAAGACTATAATACACATAGTATCTTGTCAGGTCACCAGTGAGTTTGTCCCTGTTCCTATTACAAATGACCCTATTGCTGTGGAACAGAAAGATGTTAGAGTTGGGATAGAAACTGTTGTGAGGAATACAAGGTAGTGTCAAGTCCAAATTCCTTATTTAAGACTTAGCATGTTCTGTAGTATGACAGTAATATGCTTATAATGTCTGAATACCCTTTCATACCAACTCAAGGAGGCCCATAGTAAGTCTCTTACATTGCAAAAGTCAAGAAATCTGGCTTAATGGTGTGCATGGCTAGATTTATAGATCAAAAACTACACAAGTAATTACTGTACAATTTATATTCAGTCCCAACTAATCCATTTATTTCAAATCATGAAATAAACACAATTCATTTTAAAGAAACTTAAAGCAAATGACCTGTCCATGCTTTCTGCTGTTAGGAGTATCTGCCAGCTTATTGCAAAAACTGTTTAGCAAAGGATCAGTATCCTGGGTTGTATTAACAAGAGTGTCACTTGCAAATCAGTGGGAGTGATTCTTCTGCTCTGTTCAGCGCTGCCACCAGCTCTGTTCACCACTGCCTCACCTTGAGTACTGTGTCTGCTTTTGTGCCCCACACTTCAAGAAGGACAGATTGGACAGTCCAGAAGAGAGTGACAAAAATTATTAGAGTCCTGGGAATGCAATACTTATGAGGAATGGCTGAAAGAACTACTGATATTTGGTCTGAAGAAGAGAAGACTTAAGGGGTATTTGATAAGTCTTAAACTACTTGAAAGGTGATTATAGAAAGCATGGAGATGGGCTTTTCCCTGTTGCTGCTTAGGACCAGCTGCTGCTGGGGATTCTCCCTACCATTCAGGGAGTGTGCATCCAGCAAACTTAGTTCGACCTAACCCTTCTTAGGTTATTTTTTAAATAGTACTGAGCTCTGTGTATCTTCAGGGAGTTTAGACTAGCCAAAAAATGGCTGGCCTAATCCAGCTTAGTTCACATTAGGAGATGTACTATGAGGATAGGCTAACCTGTTCTTGATCTAACCAAACATATTAACATTCTGAATGCAGCCCCAGGGATGGGAAAGCCCAGCAGCTTGCTCCAGCCCTGGGACTTCACTTTTCCTACCCCCACCCACCCTGCCTGGGCTATTTTTTAGTTCCCTTATTTGCCATCACCCACAGTGGGCCTGCTAGCCCCTCCTTCCTCTCCCTCTCCCCCACCCCCCCAACCACAACTTACTTAGATCAGAGATCAGGTCCTGGTGCAGTTTCTGGCACCAGCTAATGCCCACGTAAGTAGGGACTTGGGGTGTGCAAAGTGGGCTGTATTCAATTAGGATTTGGCCCAAATTGGGGGACAGTGTCTTGATTCATTGATTTGGATCACTGCCCTGATTTGATTCAGCCAAATCCAAATCTGAAGATTTGATGCTGATTCAGAGAATCAGTGATTTGGCCATAGGCACAACTTTAAATGTTTTTTTCTACATACCTTGAGGTACCAGGCACAACTCATGAATATTGAGATGGTGGGGTGGATGGAGTGTCTCACAGGAGCACAGGGGGGCCCCGGCATGCTTGGTGGTGGACCCAGAAGTGGATCAGAAGAACTTCTCGTCCACTTCTGGGTCCACTGCTGAGTGCACTGGGGACCTCCCCCCGGCACCCCTCCGACTTGGTGATCAGACACAGGGAGACCTCAAGTGCCCCCCCAGACCCAGGAGGCACCAGTCTCAGAGCCCCCCATGCTACTGTGGGATGCTTCATCTGCCCTACCATCTCAGCATTCACGAGCAGCCTGGTACCTTGAGATATGTAGAAAAAACATTTAAAGATGTGTCTATGTTTGAATCATCAAATCTCTCTAATCTCTCCAAATTGATTCAAAGGGTTCTGATTCAATTTGGAAAGATTAAAGGGTCTCTTGATTCAATCTGGATTCAGAGATTCAGCCACTGAATTGGGCCAAATCTCTGCCAAATCAAATCAGTGACCAAGCTTCGCCCTGCCTTAGTGGGGATCCAATCTACTTTATTGAGTCTGTGAACACAAGCATATATGCCCTCCATTGCAGCATGGCACTGCAAAAGCTGACCTACACCAGAACCCCAAGCAGCTGACTGCAATGTGACACCAAGACATCTCTGCTAGAGCTCCAGCTGGATGACTGTGGCACAGTGCAGATACCGACCACCCCCCACATCACTGAATGCTGCTGAAGCCACAACTGCATTGTACTGAAGCCACGACTCCACCCTACATATGTTGCTGACCCCTGTTCTAGACAATAACCACTTTTACCATAGCCTACACTTTCTTTCCCCTAGGGCATGTTCCTTGATGTATTCTGAAACATCTCTCCAGCCTTGTTCTTGGAAACAGCTGGACAACTGACTTGTTTTAAAGGCCATCTGAGGCAGGTACTCAGCATGGAATACCTCAATCTGACCAAGTTTGAGTAACATACGTCTTGTACTTGATTATTGTATAAAGTAAAAAGTTGGGCTGCTATGTGTAAGTTGTATTATTATCTTACACTATTTGTTTGTGGCTCTTGATATATCCTGGGAAGGAGAGAGCTTCAGCTTTTCACGGACTCAAGCAGGCTAGATCAATATTTTGTATAGAGACTTAGATCTTGAAAGAGCTCTCTGAGCATGACTTAGATGTCTTAGAGGTAAAGCAGGATCTAGGTTATAAAATTAAGATTTTAACAAATACACTAAAACTAAAACTTTAACAATAAATCAACTATGATAATAGCATTATTAATTTTTTGCATTCCTATTTTTATGCCTTTTGTAATGCCTTATTTTATGGTGTGGTCTTTTAAATTAGGAATATTAGGGCTTGATCTGAAGAAACACAAGCAGGGCTGAGCAAACTGATTGCTGATATTAATTCTCTCTCTCACTAAAGGCCTGAAAAGAAGGTAGCAGCCATATTACACCATTGTAGTGTGTCTTCTAGACAAACTGTAGTGCTACTGTTTACAGTTTGAAGAGGCTTATGTCAGGTCTCAGTAGAGCTAAATTCCTTACTAAAGCTAAACCAGCCAGTCATTGTAGCTCAAAGCTGTTATCTCCCTCTTACAGAAACAAGCAAAAAAAAAGATATTTAACACCTAGCAAGAGAAGTGGCTTGTGTAATATTGAATATTGTATTTTCTTATATACAACATTCTCTGGAATATAATACATACCTTGTCCTTGAAAAGCGGAATAAAGAAATAAAGATCTGTCCTTATAGTAGCAACTAGAAATCCAAGTCTGCTTATTGTTCTGTTCCCTGTGGATCCATGCAGATTTTACTTTTAGTTTCACTTGGTAAGTGGAAGAACCTGCTCTTACCATATTACTGACATATAATGCACACTTCAATGTCTAACACCTGGTTTGTGGGGAAAGCTTGTGTTGTAAGTGAGAAAATGTGGTACTACTAAAGATTACATTAATTGAGAAACTTGCTTTATTTAGTGTTAAAATATAAAAATGAAGGGTCACATTTAGGAACTCTTATTCAAACAAATAGTATAATTACATATAACTTAAGACAGTGTTTCCCAGCCTTTTGGTTCCAGCTGCATACTTACTGTGCCTCTCCCACCCTGTGGCACACCAACCGAATGTGGAGCTGGGGGAGAGGAGGGCGAACAGCCAGGCATGGAGCAGTGGTGGGGGGTGTCAAGCAGCCAGGTGCCGAGTGGAGGAGAGGAGATGGTGCGGCTGAACACAGCACACAGATGCAACTCACTGGCTGCAGCCACCCCCCACACCCCCGTCTGTCTGTCCGCACTGGCAGGGGGCATGGCTCCAGACAGCGGAAGTCATGGCTCTAGCCTGAAATTCCACGACACACCTGGATGTGCCTCACCGCACACCATTGTGCCATGGCATACCAGTTGGGAAACACTGACTGAAGAAGCAGGATGGTCCATGCAGTGATAGAAATAATAATTTAGGGTTGCTTCTTGCCAGGAGACTTAGGGAGTTGAATTACTGAGAGAGAGTCTCTCAGCTTAGTAGCTTGTTAGTCAGTTAGAGACAGGAAGAGGGTCTGCAGAGGCAAGTCTTCTGCTCCACAGTTAATGTTTGTTGTTAGTACTTATCATTCTTGTATGCTTGTATTTATTGAATAAGATCATCTTTACAGAGTATCAGAAGTGGTGAATAAGAAAAATCATTAAAGAATTTGAATTCCAATCTGAAAAAGAAGCTGGAAACTGAGAGCAAATGGAGCAACACAGCCATGGTGAAGGACAAGGGTCTCTAACTGATCTTCCTGGCCACATTCCAAGTTCTAAGTTATGTTCTAAGTAAAAAAGACAGTAAGTCATTAAAATTTTGCAGCCTCCACCTGCCCTTCTTATTTTGGGCAATATACTAGAGAACAGGAGTGTGTACAGACAAAGTTTTGAGAGGGGTCTAACAACCACAGGGGCAAAAGAGAAAAATGACAAAGTCAAATTCTCAATCTTCTTGCACACCATGAGGGAGGAAACCCTGGCAGTTTAAAACACCTTTATTTTGGCAGAAAGTGAAAATATGTAGTTAAGAGTAAGACTATCCAAATTTGAGGAGTATTACATGCCAAAAAAAAAAAAAATGAGATACTTGAAAGACTCATTTTTTATGTGCAGACAAAGAACAGGAGATAGTATAAATTGGTATGTCATGGAACTAAAGAGACTGAGTAAGAACTGTGTTTCTGAAGACTTGACAGTCTCTGATTAGAGAGAGTAATATCTGTGGCATTGCAGATACTTCATCACAAGAAAAAAATTCTGCATGAGGGAGACTTTTCCCTAGGAAAGACTGTTGAAATGTGCAGGGCAGCAGAAACAGTGAAGGCTGAAGCTGAAGAGCTGAATGGACTAAAAGTGTGTTGTCCTTGCAGTAGGCATGAAAGAATGTGGCCAGAAAAAGCCATCTCACAGAGTAGAATTTTTTGCTGGTAAGAAACCACTTCACAGGGTGGAATTTCATTGGCAGAGTGATAAATTAAAAAGCAAATGTAGAAAGGAACATGACCCAAAACCTTCTGCTGCAATAAAAAAGATCTGTTTGAACTGCAATTTCCTCAAAAAGGAACCATTTTGCTAAGTGCTACAGATCTCAAACAAAAAAACCTCAGGTTCATACAGCTGAGATCACATTAGAGGAATTTTATATAGCTATAGCTAAATGAAGGGAGATCAATGAGAGAGACGGGATTTTACCAGTAGAAGTGCAAAGAACAATAGTTTCATTTAAATTTGACATAGGAGCTCAGGTTAATATTTTACTAGAATAGGTATGTAGAAAATTGAAATTTAGTCCAAAACTGAGTCCAACAAATATTAAAATAACTGTATATTCAGGAACAAATATACTAGTGAAAGGGAGATGTGTTGTTCACATCCAATATAGAAATATAAATTTGTACAAACTCATTCTGGTTCCAAGGGAGGTGACATCAATGTTATGCCCAACAGTTTGTGAGAAACTGAATCTACTTAAATGTGTGTTTGCAGTAAAAGAAGGTACAACAGTCAGGCTTCCTGATGAGCTTCTTGGCTGTCACAGCCCTAATCTGGACAATTTTCTTAAGAAGAAATTTGTTCCAGAGCACTAGTCATAACCATGTCCTTATGGGAAGAAACTTTCCTTCAAACACAAATGCAAATGCTATCATGCAGAAAAAAGAATCAGCCTCAGCAGTTTGTAGGCAATTAACTTGATACGATGGTCAAAAGCACAGGTGCCAAAAGCGCAAGTCAATTGGATTCCAGTATAATGATTTACTGGTGATACCACCTATCAAGGAGATGTGAGTGACTGGTGCCACCTTAGTCAGGGGGGCACATCCCTGCCCCCGTGACCAGTCCGGCTGATGGGGGAAGTCTCCCCCATGGCTGATCCTGCCAACCAGGGGCGGGCAGTCCCCCATGGCTGATCCTGCTGACTGGCTGATCCCGCAATGGCCGATCGCTGCAGCCAATCGCTGGGAGTAGCTGAAGCTGCTTTTGGTAGTGGCTGCAGCGATCAGCTGGTGCTTGCAGGGGTGGGTACTGGCGCTCCTGCCTGCCCCCCACCCATCACCTAAGCAGCAAGTACAGCCACTTGTGGGGGCACCGGCACTCACACCCCCATGCACCCCCTACGCATCAGCACTGCTTGGAGGGAAAGCTCCCCACCCAAACCAATAATTTGTAACCTGAGAAGACAGTAAAACCTCTTGAAAGTTTCTCAAAGACATGTTAAGAGAACTGCAGAAAAGTGTGAAAAGGAAAGAGAGTGATAAAGTTTCACTTCAGAGTGCAGTACTAGTAACCTTTCCTCTGTAGATGGGTGTTAATGGAAGTTTATCTTAATTTATTTTTGTAGTTGTTAAGAGGGAAGTTGTAATGATAGAACTAATAAGTTAGGGAAGCAGCCTAAAAAGAGACTGAGGGAGTTGGGCAGTTGGGAGATGGTTTCCTAGTTAAGGACCTGCAGAAGTTATCCTACTGCTCCACACTTAAATTTTGTTATTAATTCTTCTCATTCTTGTATGCCTCTATTTATTGAACCCAGTGATCATTATAGTCCAGTGTTTAGGTACTAAGCTGGAATTTA